AAGTGTGTACACACACACACACACACACACACACAAATATATATATATATATATAATTTGAGTTATGAAAATAGTTTTACTCTTTAAAGAAAGTGAAGTGATTTTTAGCCCCATATAATTGATCATAGCCCCATTATTAAGTACACCATCTTTATATTAAAGAAATTAAGTATACCGTCTTTATATTCAATTTCTTTAAAGAGTAAATCTATTTTCACAACTCAAATTATGGAGCCCATTTGATTCAATAAGGAGGTGATCATCTACTTAAGTTGGTATAAGTGTTATGGCCTCAATAAATGGGCTTGNCTATGAACTTTTTGCACACCTTCATATGGGCTTGAATAGCATTTGTCATTGACCTCCTAAGTACCTCGATTACGATTTTTGGTCTCTGATTTTTGGACTAATTCTATTCTCTTCTCTCTCTTTTTTCACAGCAACCATTTTGGCATTTTCCTCGGTTGAGCCACTCCTCTTTTTGACATATCAATAAATGTTAGTATTCATTGACCATTGTAATGATGTAATATTTTTTGGGGTTTTTCCAGAATTGTCAATATAAATATATTGGTGTAGTATATGACGAATTTGTGCTGATTTGGACCTAATTTTGACCTCTTGAACCTCTGTAGCGTTAACTATTACTAAAGCCTAAAGTTTGATTAAATTTAACCCTCTTATTTAGTGTTTTGATAGTGGAAAAGAAAGCAACATCCCCTTACTCGCCATTTAATTTTTGTTATTGATTGTGACTGTGCAATGTTAATTTAATATTTTAATTATATTGAGAAATCAAGTCTCCTAGTTTTCTCATATTGTATCTTTAGTAGCTGTATAAGATAGACTATTGTTTTGTATTTTGTATCTAGATAATTACAGCTATTATTCTAGATCATAAACTTTAGGCTGCATTTTTTAGGGGACAATCATCCATCAGATTGTCATGTTTAAACAGATTCATTCTGATATAGACAATCTGCACAAAACTTTAGAATTCTCTACGTATTCAAACTTCACAAGCTACTACATGTATTTGCTTGAAAGTAATCAATAAATCAAATACAATTTAATTATATATGTTGGATAAATGATAGGAACTCACTCTAATAACTCCACAATTTGGGTTGGGTCATGAGTCTTTCATGGGCTTGAGTAGAACTCTCCTTGGAAAACCGGCTTGCCAAGGGAGGGTGCCCAAGCCTTTATAACCCACATGCCCATCCTTTTCTCTTTCAATGTGGGATCTTAACATTCCACCACGCTTCCGCAACCGACATCCACGTCGGCCTCTTTACCCCTTGGGTGACTACGCAGATCCCCTTTCGCTCGGGCCTCCATGCCCTTTCTCAGAGTAGCAGCCCGGGCCCAAGGTCAGCCTGCCACGCATGCGCTGCCACATAGGCGCAGGATCATGCTCTGATACCAATTGATAGGAACTCACTCTAATAACTCCACAATTTGGGCTGGGTCATGAGTCTTTCATGAGCTTGGGTAGAACTCTCCTTAGAAAACCGGCTTGCCAAGGGAGGGTGCCCAAGCCTTTATAACCCGCATGCCCACCCTTTTCCCTTTCAATGTGGGATCCTAACAATAAATAATATTGTTATGTAAATGTTGTTGATTGCCTTCTGGTTATTTGATGTTGTATTGTGTAATGTGTTGATTGCTGAAGTGGAAAAATCTAGCCAATTGGTGGGGCTGGTTTGTTTGCTCGGAAAAATATAAGTGTTTTAATTTATGAGTATGAATTTGTTGGTTGTATACTTGCTGTTTTGGATCCATTAACATTGGTTGGACATTTTAGAGGTTGCTAACATAATGTTGTCTTTATATATTAGTAAGCTGAATTAAATTTTAGGGATGAGTAATTAAAGAAGCATAAATTATAGACTTAAAAGTTTGTATTTTGTAAATTGCATGCTCGAAACATAAAGACAAGCTTTAACTTGAGAATGAAGAACCCTGCTCGCAATTCAGTCCAGGAAGGAAATATACTGAAGTTGGTGTGGTGAAGTTGACATGAAGATAAAAAAATGTATTAGTATTAAGTTGGTTGTTTTGTTGGTCTATTTATTAAATTTGTAATTGTAATTTGGGTAATAGATTTTGTGTTAAGTTGGCATTAAATAACTTGTGGATTAATTTGTTGATAATCATGCATTGTAATTTCAATTTTATTAGAAGAATTATTTGATTTTAAATTTTTAATAAGCATTTTCTAAAATTCGGATCGATTTCGAATATCCAGTTATCCGATCAGGAAAATCAGATATCCGAAAAACCAAATATCCACATATTTCGGATTAGGATATTTCCTAATTCGAAAATCCGGGATCGGATTAGAAATAGGGCCATTCAAATCGGATATCTTGATTTGAACTGCCCTAGTTCCAAGGAGGTTTTCATTCGAGTTTTTCAAATCGAGCGAACGAACGCTAACAAATACCAATTACTCAAAAGTAGGGGTGAGCAGTTTCAGGTACCCTATATTTTTCAGGGGAACCGAAACCAGAGTCGTACAGTGCAGGTTCCCAAAAAAATGAACCGAAACCGAAACTAAAACCGCACAATGCAAGTTCTTAAATTCAAGGAACCGAAACCTAAAATGCAGGTTCCGGTTCCTTTCCCGGGTACCCTGTAAAAAATAAATTACCTCCTTTTAGTTTAAAAAATGACAAAAGTATCTTAAAGGTTTACAAATATACCCCTAACAAATTTTGATTACTTATTCATTTGTGTCCAATATGGCTCATAAATCCTCTAATCTCTAGGCAACATTTGAATTCAATCAATTCATCACAATTGACATAAAATTCCTCAATCAAAACCAAAACACAAACTATTAATTAAACAGTCATACATTAAATCTATAATTTAATATTACAATTAATTAAATTTCTAATCATTTAAATAAATATTACACTAATATTTATAATGGAATATTATAATTAATTAAGTAATCATACTATAAATCTATAACAGAATATTATAATTAATTAAAATTTTAATTATTTAATTAAATAATGTACTAATGTAATAAATTACTAATGTTTATAATGTAATGTTATAAATTTATAATTAATTAAATAATCATTTAACAATTTAATGTTATAATTAATTAACTAATTATAATATAATGTAATATTATAATTAATTAATTAAGTAATTATTTAATTATAATGTAATATTTTAATTAATTAAATTTCTAATTATTTAATTAAGTATTGTACTAATGTTTATAATAGAATGTTATAATTAATTAAGTAATCATACTATAAATTTATAATTTAATGTTATATTAATTAAATTTATAATCATTTAATTAAGTATTGTAAAAATTACTAATGTTTATAATATAATGTCATAATTAATCAAGTAATCATTTAATTATGTAATATTATAATTAATTATGTTATCATATTATAATGTAACGTTATAATGAATTAAGTAATCATACTATAAATATTTAATGTAATATTATAATTAATTAAATTTTTAATAATTTAATTAAATGTTGTACTAATATTTATAATGGAATGTTATAATTAACTAAGTAATCATTTGTCTATAATGTAATGTTATAATTAATTAAGTACTTATACTATAAATATATAATGTAATATTATAATTAATTAAATTTCTAATTATTTAATTAAGTAATATACTAAATTACTAATATTATGTTATAAACTTATAATTAATTAAGTAATCATTTAACTATATTATAAATATGTAATAATATACTTAGAACTTGATAATTGAAGTAAATAACTAAGTATTATATTATTATTCAAAAATAATTCTTTTAATAACATTAAAACATTTTAAAATGTTCCTAATTCCAATTATACATTTAATTAATCAAAACTTTAATATTCATATATTATAATATATTAAAGTTTTTTATATGATGTAATTTATATGTAATAAGTATAATTGTATATTTATTTAATTAGGTTACTGTAAAAATTTAATTTTTTCCATTTAAAATTTTTTTATATGTAAAATTACAATAGATCCCTTATTTTTCACAGATATTTCATTTTAGTCCAAGTTCTAAAACAAGGTACCCGCTACAGGTTCCAAACAGGGTACCTACTACAAGTTCTTTTTTCCAGGTGCTGGTTCTGGTTCCAATTCCGACTCCTCTACATGTAGGAACGGGAATGGAACCGCACAATGTCGATTCCAAAAAAATAGAACTAAAACCTACCCACACAGTGTCGATTCCAGATGGGTTCCGGTTCTACCCGTGCTCACCCGTTATTATTTGGAATTAGGAACATTTTAAAGTGTTTTAATGTTATTAAAAGAATTATTTTTGCGATGATTGAGTGCGAGATTTAGGGAGCTTCACATTCAGTTTCCTTCCCTGTTGGTTCAGGCCATCGAGTGGTAGTTCCATGCTGAAGTGCCATTTTCCGAAAGAGTATAAATAGGATAGGAGCAGGCGAGGGATAAAAATAAAATTACTCAACTTCAAGTAGAGGGATTTCGGATATTTACATTCTAAGCGTCAAAAGAATACCCTATTAATTAATATTATTTGTTGTCCTTATAATCAAACTCTAATTGCCTCATGCTTTATTATTATTATTATTATTATATCAAATTAATTGTAAATTAAAGCATATTCAGCTTTTGATTTCGATCAAATTATGCTATAGGTTTGAAGTTGTACATTCACTGTTCTTATTTGCATCACTAAGACAAGGCTTTTTATAATACCCATTAAAAGTAGACAAAAATCATATAGGAAAACAATCATAATCTTAAAAATAAATAAATAATAAAAAAGTCTAGTTTGCCAAAAAGAAGTAATTTTTAGTTTTTCTAACATGGTCAAATCTGTAATTTCACACAATATATATTCAGATATAACAGTCCCACAGGGGATTTCATCAGCTCCAGTTTAGACTCTAATACAATAATGGTCTTGTTTCTCTCCCTCTCTCCCTCTCTTTCTTTTCTGTTCTTTTATATTGAAAATTTTATGTAACCAAAAGGAAATTAAAAAAAAAAAAAAAAAAAAAGGAAGGGTGAAATTCCCAATAGAAAATCTATTATTAGGGATTTGATTTTGACCAATGAATTTTCCCTTCCACCAAACACCTTCCTGCCTCTTTGAATTCTTTACGTGATAAAACCCTAAACCTCCCCTCTCAGACATCACATCACATCACATCACATCACATCACATCCTCCTCTTTTAAGGTATCTATATTCACAACAACTCAAATTGGTCTATACAGAATACAGATTGCAAATGTTACCTTTTCTTTGGTCCGACTTCCTCGATTCACAATCTTCTGCGTCTTTGTTTCTCCTTTCGGTGCGGGGAGATGAACATTTTTCCAACACCTCAGTTCCTGTGTTCCATTGCAACTGAAAATGAAAATGACGATGAATTTTGCTTCGTCTGTAACGTGTACTATCTCGCAAAGCATCCTGTGACCTGTGTGTACACGCAAAGCATCCAGTGTGTTTTGGAAGTTTCGAAGTGTTCCTCTCCACCGAAATAAGTATGTCTAAGAAAAAAATGAGACTGACGGACTACTACAGGCGATCAAGAATCTGTTCTGGTTGCAGTGAAAGAAGAAAGAAGTCCTGCAGCCTGTGCAGGTAGAATGTCGCCGAATGTCGACATGGCAGATGATGATCTATCCTTGAATATGCCGACTTGACCATCTGTTAAGATGGATCCTAATTTCATAGTGCTCTCTCCAAATCTGCTGCCAACCTGGTCATAACAAAGGAAACAGATATCAGAATAATGGTTTTCAAATGGACAACAAAACATCATACCATTTAGAGAAAGTTTTAGCAATTATCTCCCCAAGCTACTCTTTAGAACATTTGAGTTCTAAATCCGTACAACAATCATAACCAATAGAATAATGACTCAAATCAACCACCTAAATTGATTAATGCAATAAAATTTTCCTTATTAACACATTATATAAATGACATAAAAAATTCTTAGCATAAACCCAGTATGACCCTTGATTCCTTATAATTTTCAGCGTTAGGACTGCAGGACCATTCGAGTAAAATGATAATTACTAAATCTTATAATCTGTGTCTCACTAAAGTTTTACTAAGTTGCTCATCCAAATAATCTATATAAACTAATACAATATTGAAACATAATAACTAGAAGTTGCCGGCAGACTCCATCAAATCAATCGACCTTTCAAGACATTCCTAGAAACAAGTAGCCGTGAAAGCTATCCCCAATTTTTGTGATTAAAATTTGACCATAGTAGACAAAATGCTTATTCCATACTAACCACAAAAAGCATGTAACTCGCTGTTCAAATTCTAGATTAAGACAAGTTATGGAAATTCCGCAATTCTTAGGCAGGAACAACACAGCTTCAAAGGCATATTTAATAGCACATTCATCAGGGGAATGAAACCTGAACATCCTATGACACTGAAAGAATCAGAAACCCCAGACACTGAATCTCTATTTTCCCTGTAAATGAATATTTTAATTGTATAAATTGTTTTCCCAAATCATGCCATTATATCATGTAAGTTTTACCTCACTGAGCAGTGACCACAGATCCACAACTATAAGATTGAAATGCTCTATGAACAAGAAAAATAAAATAGGTAGAAAGACTTGCCTGCATGAAAGACTTTAAGAATGGTGTTGCTACCCCGAAACTTGAGTTGTCATCCAAATCAAGATTTTGAGAAAGCTCTCCATTTGTATATGCTTTAAGGAAGCCTCTTGAAGAGATATCATCTGAAACAGCTGGAATGGATGTTCTAGTTGTCGCTCTTGAAGAGAGAGCTGGAGCACTGCACACCAAAAGAAAACAAAGACCTTATTAAAGGACAGATAATGAAGGCAGAAAATTTATTTTGTTGGGGAAAACAGAAGGGTGGGTGGATTGTGCTTTTGAGAAGATGCAATAAACGTAAATCATAACTGAATGGTAAGAATCAAATAAAAGAAATGAAGACACTAACCTTATTGGGAGATATTTGAAGCGAGGAACTGTAGAGCATCTCATAATATTTGACTCAGAATTAGTCGGCAGTTTCTGCACAGTGTCTGTATACAACCGATTAAGTTGCACAAAGAAACCAAAGAGGACAGCATGCCGCAGGTATGCTTGCCTTTCATTCTCCCTGAGATATGGCTCGTACCTTGAATGATATAAAGTTAGAAATACTCAACTCAAACTCAAGTACATAATAATTTCTTAGTCAGATTCAATCATTCAAAAGTAAATTATCTTACCCCACCCCCCCAAAAAAAAGGCAAATTAATGAGCTGAAATCATTATAATTATTGTACATATGGAAAGAAATTCTTACGTAAGCCAGTCAATAGGATCCAATCTTTGTGAAAAACGATTAATTAATCCATTAACACGCTCCCCAATAGCAGATTTTGTTTGGCTTTGATCCTGCTTTCGCCTGAAAGAAAACTTTGACTTCGGATTTTTGGATAACTCCTCACTCATATTAGAATCACAACCAGAAAGAACGTCAGCAGCAAATCTTAAGTCTAAAAGAACTTGCAAAACTCCTTTCTCTGACACTTGTGATCCATTTGCCTCTATAGCAGAAAGGAAGTTCATATAAATGCTTATGACCTGCATTATCATTATATAAGCAAAAAGTTTAGAAAGAAGCTTGTGGAATGTTGTTGTATAACCAGAGATACTCTTAACTTAATGAGCCACGACAGTAAACAAATGACGGAAATAAAATCAACAAGAAACTACAAAATGTAAATAGCTTAGAGGATTCTATGTCTCAAATTAAAGATAACAACCAGTTCATGTAATTCAGCAAAATACACAATTACTTTTTGGAGAAGCCAATACTTTACAAATTGAAATAATATAGTGCTTACTAAACAAAGAGGAGCCCTAATTCTCCAATAGATGCAATGTGTTGAGAAAAAGAGAAATACACAAGTGGATCAGGTATCCACTAAAGAGGTCAGATCACCCCTTAAAAAGGGGAAAAAAAAATACAGAGAAAACATAAAAAAATTTCATTTACACGACGAAGAAAAAATGATGAATGCAGTAGAGCTATAAAGTGAAAACAACCGAAAAAACTAGAATTTCCTGCTTTTACATCTTCAAAAAGATTATCTTTCGAGCCAAATGACCCAAAAAAACAGCTATGTAGAAATCTGTGGTATTTTAGAAACAAAAAACTGAGAAGTAAGAATTAACTCTTAAGGTTTCTGCGCCTACTTGGTTTGTTGAGCAAAATCCTACCATACTAAGGAAACAAAGTATAAACAATTCAAACCAAACAAGAGATTCTGTTAGGATCCCACATTGAGAAGGAAAAGGGTGGGCATGTGGGTTATAAAGGGCTTGGGCACCCTCCCTTGGCAAGCCGGTTTTCCAAGGAGAGTTCTACTCAAGCCCATAAAAGGCCACTGCCCAGCCCAATTGTTTGAGATGTTAGATGGGTTTCTATCAGATTCATAATAATTAAAGACTCATAATACATATCTAAACATAGAAACTGAAATATCTTAGACAGAACAACAACAAGCAGTTAAAGCAGGTCAAATAGTTCAAGTAATTTTTTATAATAACTGGTTAGTTTTGTCTTCTATAAATCCTTTAAGCTTGATTGTGCTTCAAGAATATAAGAACAAATTTTATACATGTTGAAACTTGGTTCAGATGCTTAGTAAACCAACCCAACCCTCCTATTTAACCCCACATGTGAACTTGCGAATCAATAAATTTTCTAGAGTTTCTTATCGGAAAAAATAAACTATAAATGCAAAATTTCTGGTGTAGCAATCCAAAAGTAATTATTGATAAGATTAATAAATAAAAAACAAGATGGTAACAATTCATTAGAGTATATATTAAATTATAGCAAGAATTCATGGAGGAAAGAATATATCTGACATCAATGCAAGCTGCATACCTTTTCCAATAGTTGTGATGCAAATTTTTGCAGAATTGACTTGTCAAGTACATGCCCTCCAATTCTATGAATCTCTTCACAAGCTCGGCACAAGAATGAGATGATATAGAGGGAAGGCATGGATGGGAGTGAAATTTTCATCTCTGACTGGTTCTCATCAGACTGTTCTTGCTTGACCACGGTCTCTTCCCAACCCTGCACAATACCAGAAGATGAGAATCATGAACAAGAGGCGTTCTTGCATAACATAAAAACCGAATATAATTGTAAGCTGATTCTAACATAGATTAAAAGTCATCTGAGTAGAAAATTGACATTTGCATAAAAAGTATCAAGTTTAAGTTTGCACATTTATGTGTACTTTTAATGAAAGTGCAAGCCCAAAACTTGTGCCAAACAAAATTTTAGTTTGCACATTTATGTGTACTTTTAATGGAAAAAAAATATCTTAGCAAACAGCTCCACGCGATGAAGGAAGCAGCAAAACGAGGTCCCAGAAATGCACTCTTTCGAAAAAATAGCTCGTGCCTCACAAAATGCAGTCGTACTGGCCCTAACTCAGGAGAAAGACCAGGCTCACAGTGACAACCACTGCTCCATGCGTATAGGTATGTCTAATGAGATAGAAGAAAACAATAAAAAAACCTCTTGAACAAATGCTACTTACCCTCAAGGGAGTTGTTGCCGACAATCCATCATCTTGCTCAAGATCCCGTGAGAGAATGACAGAAAGCTCATCAGATAACCATGATGTCCACAGGCTGTGAGCTCTAATGCAGAGATCTCTTGTGAGTTTAGAAAGCTCTTCAAGTTTCGGGCTTGCACTTTCATTTGCTCCAAGCAATGCAGCAGTAGCAGCTGAACTTTGTCTTCTGGAGCCAGTGGGTGTTTGCCTTCCAGGGGTATCAGGAGCATCGGTAGCAACTCCAGATTGCCTCAATAGAGGTGACAATTTATCAAAAACAGCAGCCATAGTTTCTTTTCCCCAAAACCTTGGAGAACCGAGTATTACTGGAATGTGCTTTGAGTGGTTGTGGAAAGCAAACAAAAGTCGCCCAATAAATAGGGATTTTTCAACAATGATAGGTGAAGCCAAAGACTGACCATCCTGTGTGCCTTTTTCCATGGCAGCATATAGATCATCAAGCTCCCTCTTGAGTTCTGTCAAGATGGTTGACATGCTTTCATAACATTTGTTTTGTAGATACGGTGCAAGATCTTTCAACCGTAGAGATGCCTTTGGAGACTCTAAGAAACTCAGCAGGTCCTCAAGGACAGTCTGGTAACAATTGTCAACTGCATCTCTGATCCGACTAACTTCAGGACCAAAATAGGCATTGAGACAACTCTGAAAATCATTCTCTTCGTGTGATGCTTTATGCCCCAACGCTAAACCAGCCTTCTTAACATTATTATTAGGTTCAATAAACCAAACCCCACCACCAGTAGAAGGTCTGTTCAAGTATGTGCGGAAATCAATCACTCCACCAGAAGTATCCCCTCCTATTGCACGAATGGACTCCACAACATTCACAACTCTGGACAAGTCCTTGAATCCTGAATCAATAATCCTTTTCATCCTCCTAACAAAGGCATCTTCAAAAATCTCATCCCAGAGATCAGAATCATCTTCCAAAATGAGCTCACGAATCCTACTCCAAGGCAATTCAATCTCTGATCCAAATACACTCTTAAGCCACTCCAAACTACCCTCCAACACTTGCTTACTATCCATGGTCTCACGTATCAACTTCTCAGCTGATCCAAGTTCTTTGCCAGAGCTGATTGAATCAATTAAAAACTTGCCATTAATCTTACTAACAATCTCCCCACCACAGTCCCTCAACCAACTAAAACACGTCTTGGCAATATAATCTTTTTCAAGTGTCACCATTATAGCCTCTAATTTATCCCTAGATAACTTCCACAACCTAACCTCCTCATCGGGATTTGGAATCCCACCGAATAATTGAGAAGCGGGAGGCGAACCCAAAATAACTTTATAAAACAAAGGCATATCATTAAGTACATGCAAAAACAACTCCCCTACTTGAGCTACACTGACCTGAATAACAGTCAAAACATTACAAAACACAGAAACAACATCAGAAGAAGCAAAAGTACTCCCCAATGTTTGCAGAATCCAAGCTTTTCTTGTTTCCAAAAACAACCCCAGAACCTGCTTGGGCTCAAGCTCATCAATCACCGCAACTGCAGCTAAAGCATCAGCATAAGCATTAACTCCCAGCCCTTTGTCTAACAAACGCTCTCGACTCCTCTGCGAAATCTGCGCCTTGAAACTATCCACAATTTGACACTGATGTTGTAACAGCGGAAAATTCAACTGATCCATATCTTTATTAACATCAATCAAAATGTACTGCACGTGCTTGGCACGCACATACCTCGCCGCCGCCTCCAAAAACATAAATTCATCCAAACAACCCCAAATATTCTCCGGTGTATCAACCAAGTACTTAACACGACACGCAATGCCGTAAATTTTAAGTCGATTTGGGTTAGGGCTAACCAATTTGGGGGTTTCGGCGGACAAAGAGAGAATGTGTGAATGAATTGAAGAAATGTTAGAAGAAATGGACTCACATGACGATTTCATAAGCATAATCGAATCGGCCGAGTCGATTAGGTCTCGGTACCGAGTTCCGACCAATTGGCGCAACTCCTCCTGCTTTTCCTGGATCTGTTTCTTGGTGGTGAGTTCAACATTTCGGATTTCCGATATCGGCTTGGTCCGGAAGAGTGACTCGGCGTCTCGGTAGCCTCCGCCGCTGAGTGTGGCGATCCTGTCTTCGGCGGAGGCAGTGGAAGCAGAGGATACTCTCATGATTGTACAATGATAATTATGGAATTACTCGCTCGTTCATCAGATTTGAAATGTGAGGAAGACAACAGCTCAGCTCTGCTTCAGATCTGCAGAGAGAAATCGTTTTTGTAATCTTCTTCGTCGTCTTGGTCTTGGTCTTCAGATCTGAAATGCTTTTGTTGGTTCTGATTTAAACTGAAACTTCAAATCAAAGTTTTGAATTTTGTTTGCTTTTTGGGTTTTGTTTTGGGGGGGTTTTGCAAAATAATCATATATTGGGTACTACAAAGTAGCTTATAAGAGGGTAAGGTAATGAGGAAAATATAAAGTTTATATTTATGAAATACCCGACGATTTTTTTTAAATTGTACATGTACACTACAAGGTTTAAAAATAATCAAAATCACGCTCGTGTTTTCATTCTCTATAAGTCTATATATGTTTCCAAACGTGTGTCGGTATTTTGTCACTTATTTGCAGCCTAAAATATTAACTGATCCTTTGATGTGAAGTCATTAATGAGTTTAAAGATCATTTACCTGTGTATTTTCACTTACCACAATGGGTGCGTTGTTTAGTTGCGGTTTATTGGTAATTTCATCTTATATTACTTAATTACCATATTTGATTGTTAAGTAATATAAGATTTTGATAATCTTTTAATACCAGTAGTACTTATTATTGGTAATATTAGAGGTAATCTGATTACCTCTATTTTCTTAAGTAATGTAAGCTTACTAAGTAATCTTACTTTTATTACAATTTTATCCCTTTTACATAATTCTTTTAGACAATAATGCCTTTTTTTTTTTTTTTAAATCAATTTACATTAATCTACCATTATAATTTTACCCTTATCTAATTCAGTTTTTTTGATAATAATGTCATTATATTTAAAACAAATTGCAGATCACCGCCGTTGGTAGTTGGCCGACCACAGTTGACCACCGCCGGAAGTCACCAATATGGCCATTTTCGGCCATATTGATGCCGAAACTGATCAGATGGTCGTATATCTGGTTGAAAATGGCCAGATCTATTCTGGCCATTAACAACCAAATCTCGCCTAGATCTAGCCGTTTCTGGCCATCTTCGACCAAATCTACAACCATCTTGTCGTTTTCGGTAGAGGTGGAACAAATGGGCCCGCCTCAACCCGGGTTTAACCTGGCCTAGGTATACCCCGTTGGGCGGGCTAGGCCTTCATAGACCAACCCAACGACCCGATGTGTTATATTAAAAAAAAAAAAAAACGTCCAACCCACCAGGTTAGGGGTTTTGAACATCGCGGGTTGGACAAAAAAAAAATTAAAATTTTTTTTGGCAAAAACCCATTTTACCCTTGAAATATAGTCGTTTTATAATAGTTAGAGAGATCTTTTGGTCATTTTCTTTTCCTTTTTTTTTTTTTTCTATAAATAGAGCCTAAACTCTTATATTTCCTCACATCTCAAATTTTTCAATCTCTTTGTTGTCAATTTGTTCTCATTTTAATTTTTATTAGTTTTTGCAATTTTCAATTCATATTTCCAAATTTCAATTCTCCTTCTTTAGCTCTTTAATTCTTCTCTATCCAGTTTTTTTTTTTTTTTTTTTTTTGAGCAAGAGTGGATAGATATTTCTATCTCATCAATTCCGATGATGAAGAAAATTATCCTAGTCCCCCTGAATTTCCTAACGTAAATGTAGTATATTCAAATAGTCATGCTTTCCAATTCTCAAAATCCGATACACCTCATAATATTTCCCCTTCCTCCCCATGTTGCTACAGCTCCTAGTGGTTCTAGAAGTCGTCCTCATAATCGTCGTCCTCATCTAACTCCATCTCAAGTAGAAGCGGGTTCATCAACTGCATTCACAACCGACGACAGGTACACATCAGAAGTTTGGATGCATTTCGAAAAGTTTTTTAAGTGAAGAATGCAAGATGCAAGTATTGTGAAAATATTTATAAAGCTGATGCTGGTAATGGTACTAATATTTTAAAAAGGCATGCTAGTAAACATATGAATCAACATGAAAATAGAGAAATCAATCAAACTCAAATAACTAATATAAGTACTACTTAGCGTTATAATTCTAATGTATATAGGAAACAATTAGCTTTATATATTGTTGCAACTGATCAACCTATTAATATGGATGAAGATAAATATTTTGAAAGATTTATTAAAAATTCATTTTTTCTAGGATTTAAAAGTTATTCTAAAACTACAACTAGAAATAATTTAATAAAATTGTTTGGGAAAATGAAATTAGAATTAAGAAATAAAATACATAGTTGTCATGTTAGTGTGACTCTTGTTAGTGTATACCCTAGGAACCAATCGTGTCATCGGTTCCAAGGTATTATGTTTTGTATATATATGTTAATGTATATAATTTGTATATACATTTTTATCTTATCGGTAGAAGAAAGTATTTTTATTTCACATGTGGTTTATTACTTCATTTATATATATGGATGATACAAATATTTAGAAGATCAAAATTATCAAAGTATTCGCTACATAGGTAATATTATTTGGGCAATAATATTATATAGTATGCATGCTAAATGCCTCCGTAGAATATCATGTGATGGTATTAGTGTGGGTGATTATAAAAGTTATATCACTAGGGCCTTAGCATGGATAAGCGGTTAGTGAACTATTTATTTAATATGACCATTTGTGATGAATCACATGGACATTTAAAATATAGTCAATGATTCATCATAAGATCGTACTAGTGTATTATTAATCCTTAGAGCTGAGATATCACAGTTGGATTTTGCATAAACACATATGGTTCATATGGTGTATAAACACGACACTAATTATGTCATGTGTCAATAAGCCAATTTGGCAATATATTGTTTATGTGTGATGACAAGTGATAGTCCAGATGAGATCCGTTGACTTGGTATAGATTAATATCAAGTTCCTAAACAAATGTCAAGATACATTGGAAAAGGGAAATCTCCGACCGGGTTATATAAAATGTTACCTAAAAGGTTGTTTCATGGTGACACGTTTCATATGTATTGATTGTCAATTTGATATAAAATTAAGATAAAAATATTGACATACCATGAATCAATTCTTAATTGGGATTAGACAACGGAAAGATTTGATTATATAGCGCGTATGATTATAAAAGGGTTTGTTGGAGTATATCTTCATTCTGACTTAGGGGTTATGGAGCATTGCTAGATGTCTACCATAATCGGTGGGAGTTTTGTTCATAAGAAGTTATGACAAAACATATCGGAATAGACTATGATATTGGCCCATGGCTAAGCCACAGTGAACCTAAGAGGTCACACATAAAAACTAAGGAGAATAGAGAAATAGCCAAAGAGAGTTGATTATCCAAGGTTGGCTAACACCTACCAAGGGTAATAAAGTTATTTATATTATTATCATTGAATTAAATTCAATGGAGAGTTATATTAGTTATTATGAATAATTTAAGAGTTAAATTGCTAATTGGAATTAAATGGAATTCCAATTTATAATTAATCATTTTCTTTATATTAAGTTGAATTTAACAATGAGTTGTAATTGTAAACATATGAACAGGGTTGTCAACAATTTAAGAGTTAAATTGTTAATTGTGATTAAATGTTAATCCAATGTTATTATTTAAAGAAGTTTAACAACTTTATAATAATTATGGAATTATTTACAACTCCAAAACAATTATAGAATTGTTTAAAAAAGTCCAAAACAATTATTGAATTGTTTACAAGGCTACATATATAAAGAAAATGATATATCAATTTTGAGATAGAGATCAAAATTTCTAAGAACCCTAAATATCTCTCTTGGCCTAAATCTTGTTTTACTTTAGTGTGGATACTCTTTTGTTTAATTTCTCTTGAAATTAAAAGTCTTCAAGGTTGCTGAGGACTTAAGTTAATAAGTTATACCTTATTTGTTTTCAATTTGATTGAATTTTTTTTGCAAAATATGAATATACATGTTATAGTATCACATGCATCATTCTCCATGCATTCCATCTTTTAGCTCTAACAGCTGATATTTGGAGTGATAGAGCTAAACAAAATTATATTTATGTGACTAGTCATTATTTTGATAATAAATGTAAATTAAATAAATCTTTATTGGAATTTAGATTAATGGATGCGGATCATAGTGGTTAACAAATTTAAAATAAAATTGTTGAAGTTTCAGAAGATTATGGTATTGTTCACAAAGTGATAAGTTTAATATTAGATAATGCAAGTGCTAATAGTAGAGTTTGATTTTTTTAAAATAAATATTCCTTTTTATGACAATTTGAAGTTTTTTTACCTACGTTGTGCATGTCACATTATTGATTTAATTGTGAAAAGTGGTATGAAAAAAATTAGAAATAATATTGATAGAATTATGGGTTTTTTAACTTGAATTACTAGTAGTAATATAAGAAATACTGAATTTCAAAATGCTAGTATAAAATCAAATATGTCTCTTAGAACTTTTGCATTAGACATGCATGTTAGATGAAATAATACTTATTTAATATTTGATTCATGTTTACCTTATGCAATTTTAATTAGTTATTTTGTAGCAAATAATAAGAGTCATCATTAATTGGTAGACAGTGATTGGCATATAGTTCAAAAATTTTATTCTTTTCTTAATTTTTTTATCAATCCACTGTAAAAATTTCTGGCATGTATTATCCTACTTGTCTATTGTTAATACATACAATTATAAAAAATTTATATTTATTTAAAAAAACAGAAACAATGAAATTTTAACGGGACCAATAGAAGCAATGGAATTAAAATTTTAAAAATATTGGAAACTTTTTTCTTTTCTTTTTTGTTTAACTGTCATATTTGATCCTAAAATTAAATTAGCGGATTTAGAAAATGGTTTAGACACGTTAAGTGAAAATTTATGAGACGAAGCATATGCCAATCAACTTGGAGAGACAAGACAATGTCTTGCAGAGGTATATTTGTAATATGAAAATAAGTATGGGAACCAACGAAGAGGAGAAATACCTGAGGAAGTAGCATCAGAAGACATAAATGAAGACTTCGACTCCTAGAATGCACTTAATAGGCTGAAGAGGACTCGAACCCGAAGCATAGCCTCCTCTTCAGAAGCATCAACAACAAATATATTATCCTCCATACAGCTACAAAGTAATGAACTTCACCAATATTTGGGAACCCCCGACGTACT